TAAACTTAAAAATTCAAACATTCTAATGAATGACCAACTAAATTTGAATAGATCACCATTATTGAACTTGTTTTCTTGAAAACCGAGAAAGAATTATTATAGATGTAGATGTGAGGCAATATGCTTCAGGTAATCATAATTGAGTAGGTACGAGATGTAGAGGTTCAGGTAATTTCTTACAGGTAGTCTCAATTATGGTTACCTGTAGTATATAAATATGAATGTAAGAATAATTTGATGTATTAATCACTTGAAAAAGCTGATGTTTAGCGAAACATGGTGTGATCTATTTTTTCAATAAAGTTTGTGGAGATCAAATCTTTTAGGTGTAGTTTGTGAAATTTTTAGAAACATTTTTCGATCGGAACTCATTCTTTTTTTTTGATGATTATAATATACTTTTCCAGGTGATTGTAAATTGCTTCATTGATCACGAAAAAATATTGGCACTCAGCAATTTAGTATATGATATACCAGAAAGTGAAGACAGCGACGAAAAATACACCTCCATGCCACAGAGTAGAAAAAGTATTTACAATACTGAAATTTATTGTGCCGATAAAGAAAACAAGATGCTTCATATTAGGAAAAATTTAGATATGCAGTACAGTCATCATATAGAAGTGAGAATACTATTTTAAACATACTTTTATTGATCTGATTTGAGATTAATAGCCTCTATACGATTTTCAGTGCTGCTTTCTTTCGAAACAAATACTTTTATATGAAATATACAGAAAACACTTTTTTCTACTCAGTTTGTATTCCAAATATGATATCTGATTTAATTTCATAACGAATGTTTGAAATACAAGCTGAATAGCAAAAAGTGTAATTCAATGTTTACATTAAAGTATACAGTTACTTCTTTTAAAATTGATTCATTTTTTCCTTTCTTTGGAAGATTCCCAGAGTTGTAGAAAGCCAAAAACTTTCTTTCCCAAAAAAAACCATTAAATACTTCTGCATGCAGTGGCGGATCCAGAAAATCATTTTGAGGAGGCCCAGTTTACAAGGGAGGGGTGTATAACCCCTTCATGAAGCACTAAGTCCTTGAGGGTTTTTTATTGATGTTCAGTAGTATGCGTTCAGGAACAAATATTTGAAAAAAACATTGTTTAGTTTTGAATATTGTATTACAAGTAACTATAAGAATAATATGTATATTAAAATTAACCCTTACCATCATTGCCATTGAGCGAAAAGTTGTTCGGGGTACAAGCATAATGAATTAAAAAGTAGATTATAATGAATATAATTGTTTTTCTGATTGATTCGGCCGTTACTTGATGAAGATCCATAGTAAATTCATAAACTACACCTTACGATTTGATCTCCACAAACTNCTCTAGTATCCTTAGCTGACCTTAGACTCTTTCTAATTGTTTTCGTTGCCCTAAATATTGGTTTCACATCGTGTTCCTCTAAAATTTTCCCAATCTGGGGTTACTTTGGCGTTATCTCTTCTGGGGCGTATGGTCCGCTCGATTTCAACTTCGCTAGACCCATTTCCTTTGAAAGCAGTTTTTGGTGATTGTGTTTCTCAGGGAGACTCTCATGTTGACAAATACGTCGTGCTCTCTTTACCAACGTTTTAATTATCCCTCTCTTTTATTGTGGCTGGTGGTGAAAGTTTTTGTTCGGATACCTGTGTGTGTATGTTGGTTTTCTGTACACTCTATGGCTCACGTACCATCTTCACGTCTGTTCACAAAAACATAAGGACTATAGTCCCTTGGGTTTTTCGCTCTATTGTGAATTGGATTTTTTGGTTGAGAAAGTTTAGATGTAATGAAAAATTGTTCAGTCTCTTCACCACCTTGCCATACCACGAACATGTCATCAACATAACGCAGCCAACAATGTGGTTTCACGGCCGCTTACTCTAAGGCTTGTTGTTCAAAAATTTACATGAAGAAGTTCACCGTCGCCGGGCCTAATAGACGGTCCTTTGTGTTACAATCTGTTTGTTCGTAAAAAACCCCATTCCACTGACAATAAACTGAAGACGAACAATGAGCGAAGAGGGCAGTTTTATCTGCTGGAAAGTCTTTCTTATCAATTTGTTTTGGCGACAGGCTGAGTTAAGGCATGTTTCGTAGAAATTGAAAAAAATCATTGAAATATCACTTCAACTTTTAAAATACGCTGTTTTTCCAAATGTTGAGGAATTCAACATTTCAACAACTCGAAATGAACAAAGTAGGCTGCAAAAAAACAATGGAATGTTGTTTCAGGATCCAGAATATCACTGAGAGTTTTATAAAAATAGGAAAAAGAAGCTTTCCTTCAGCTTTGCAATTCTCAAATATACATCTGCAGTTTTGTCTTATAATTTCTGTAATCGCTATACATTGTGGTCGTACAAAATTTTACTTTCCTTCAAATCTTCAATGAGACGAGATATTAACTTCACAATAGATTTTCCAATTTTCCACATTAACATGTACGTGACGTCACTCATTACAGAGAAAACGGTGTTAATTTTTCTTCAAATGAACGCAGGAGTCTTCTGATAGTGTATCAATTTTTTTTTTCGTCTTGTCTAACGATAACCTTATTAACTCGTTACGCTTTTATGATCACTAGTTCATACTGAAGGAAAACACATAAATGTATCGTTAGCCTACAATCTTTAAAAAATAAAATCGAAGTACTGTCGAAAACTATCTGAAAAACGTTACATCTTTACAAATTAAAGATTCTTCATCAATCATCAGAAGACGATCTGGGTAGAGGATTGCAATTTCATGATGACAGAGTTGTAGTCACCTCGTTCAGTGTCGAAAAGTATACCGAGTTCATCAGCTGCTCGGGGAGCTGCCCTAAAGAGAAATGCTCCAATTCCTGCTCTCTCATGGTCACGGACCATTCAGAGAAGGGGATCCGAACTCCTGACGACTTTACAGGCTGTCATGTAGAGACTCCAAACTCAAAAGTCCACGACCTCCCAGTTGTCGGGGGAGGTACAACCGTGGAACGGACGATTATTATTATTATCATCATTATCATTATCATCAATAATGTTTGCGTATTATTCGTCAAGTTTGTGTGCCTATTCAGTATCATTGGAAAGAGCACATCAAAGATCTCTCTACTAAGCTGTCCACCATTCTTTACCTGCTTTGTAGAATCAATGAATTTGTTTCCTCTTATGTTTTGAGAGCAGCTTACATGGGGTTATTTCAGTCTAAGCTGTCATACAGATTGGTTTTTTGGGAACTTTCAACTGATTGGGAAAGGATATTCATTTTACAAAAAACGGCTATTAGAATCCTGGGAAGAGCAAAACGAACGCTGTAGACCTCTATTTAAAAAATTTAATATATCGACCGTTACGGCTCTGTACATATTTCAATGTCTTGTCTATATCAAGACATTAAATAACACCTCTCAAGTTAATCACAACCATGAATATTTGACCAGAAATTGCCACAATCTTCTTATGCCACAACATCGACTGGCAATTACTCATAAAAGCTTTTTAACTATGGCAATTAGGCTCTCCAACCATCTACCACCATATATGAGGAAATTACATATGATTAATTTCAAAAAAAGTATAAAAGAGCTGCTGGTTTATCTCTGCCCTTATGACGTAAGTGCATTTTTTCACTGCAAGTTTTAATGCTTTGCCTTTTAATGTGTATGTTTTGTAGTATATCTAGCTTGACGATGCTAAATCTGTTGTATTGATAATAAGCAAATAAATTTATTGATTGATTAGTACAATAGGGGTCCATGTAATTCATCATAATGTACTTCATCATGCAATGCAATTCATCATATCGCTACAAGATCATAATCGTAATATACATAATACGTGATGCAGAGAAACGTAAGCCGTCATAATCGCAATTCATCATAATGTAAAACAGCAGAACATACTTTGTCATAACGTACAAATTCATAACGTACTTATAGAAACGTTAACCGATCATAATTGTAATGCATCATATTCACATTGTATCGTAAACTCAATGTATCATATCGCTAAAGCATAGAAACCGTATTGTACAGAATCCATGTTCCATCATACGGACCGTAATGTATAGAATACGTAAAGTATCATAACGTAATCCATCATAATTGAGCTGCGCGCTCATCAAGTCTGTCTCACAATAGCTTTCCGGTGTCATAGTCGATGGGCCAAACACAAATATTCTAAGCAGAATAACCATCATATTAGCGAAAATTTGCTATTCCACGTAAGGTAGAATTTATTTCAAATGCATTTCACTTTGAGTTTCATCAAAGATAACCAAAATTATGTCGATTTAATTGATGTTTCGAACATATATCAAACGTATTGTAATTTTCCATTGATAGTGGAACTGTAATTGAAAGATTCAGTATACTTACTAGAGAGATGATTGATATTAATTATTATAATAATTGATTCCTTTTCATTTTCATTAAACATATGCAATAAAGACATTTTGTGAGTAGATATCAGGTATTTCAAAATGATCGATCAGATACATAATTACATCTGTTGGTGTATATTGATTGTAATAGACTGCTTCGTATATTAATTCAATTCCAGCAGTATTTCCTCGTTTTACATTCTTTGGCACACTAGGAACTCTTCGTAGCGTTTGAGTCTCAAAGAATTGTTTATTTACGCAACTCAATAGAATCCATAACGTTATTTTTTTCTATTATTTTATTGAAGCTTGGGGCTCACCGTCGTACTGTTGGATAATATTGCTTTGAAGTGACGTCATTTCTATCTGTTTCTTGAAATTGTTTGAAGGGGAGTTCCATCAAACCATTTGCCGAGAGACACGGGTTAATTATATCTTTTTGCTTTTTGTCTGCCCTATTCGTGAAATTCGTTTCCACTAGATTTGGCATCTGCCAAATTCCACAAGCGACCAATGTTTAATTAAATTGTCATTCAAATTTGAACCAATTGCTAAAGATTTCGAGAGTTGAAATGAGTTTTTCAGATATTTTGAACTACGCAGACATTGCCAATTGGAAAATACGATTTATGTATTGGTAATCTGAGCTGGTACTTTTTTTAATATTTTTTTCAACAGTCTCACTCACATGTTTTCTGAAGGTAGGTATCTGAAATATATTTAACATCAGTTGAGTCCAAATCAAATGTAAATCACTAAATTAAATGCATACTTGATAGATTTCAGGATTATACTGGACTCACCTACATTCTTTTTTTCAATGACGGTTTTGGTTTGGTTTTGATTATAATTGGGTAGATTTAAAGTATTGTATCAGTGTAATGAAACTACGAATTTTATGCACATATCGTGATTCTTGATTTTGGAACCTTGATACCAACACAGTCCCACTTTTTACGGAATCCAAAGTTATATTGATAGTTTTTTAACTTGGTATTTCGTTAATTTTGTTTACACAAAATAATTTGGCACTACCGTCACTCACATTCATGCCGTTCTATAGCGATATTAATAATTTGAAAGCTTCAGAGACAGAATAGAGGCAAATAAATCGATCTAGAATATATTCATGATAATAACCTTCAAACTGTTTTAAAGTTTAAAGAAAACACAAAATGAATCAACCAGTAGCAGCTGATAGCGAATGGCCAACTCGTTCGCAATTAGTTTTATGGTGTAAATGGGTCTTCAAGATAGTCAACTGTCTTAAAATTTCACTCAACATTATAATGCAGAATTATGAAAAATTAGAAACAATGAATCAATAAATTCAAGTATTTCACCATATTTAAGCTTCTTCAGTATCATAGGGCTCTTCTTAGATTTTCAATGAGTTCAACACTTCAACTTCCGTCATTATTCCCACATAGTATGAGCAAGCGCATGGACTACAGGGTTATGACAAAGTACGTTATGATGTTTTACGTTATGATGAAGTACGTTATGACGTATTATGGTTTCTACCGATTACAAATATGATCGTTTGATGTTATGATAGAATGATTTTATGATGCATTGTGTTTATGAAGCGTTACCGTTATGACGAAGTACGGTATGAAAAAGTACGTTATGATGAAGTATATTATGATGAATTACGTTATGAAACTGTGCATTATGCCGCTGTACGTTTCTATCTTGTAATATATGATCAATCGCGATTTCTATCGTTTGATGTTATGATGCAGTAAATTTCTGGGTATTACGATTTCTATCTTGTACATTATGATGCATTAGGTGTCCCCGTATAAATAGTATCAAAAAAATGTGTAACTCATCCTTTTTCTGTTCGTTTAATTCAAGATAACTATTTAGTGTTTCATTCAGTAATGAATTATTTGTTAAATTGCGAATGGTTTGTTTTATTCAAAGTTTAATGATTATTATCGGTATTATCGGAATACACCAGTAACATCAGATGTGGCATCGAATTATAGTTTATACCACAAAATTTCCTCAGATATGTTTATTTTGATGTAAAAGCATAACTCATTTCCTTAATGTAAATACATATTTCAAAATATTATGCAAAACGTATAAGATAACCCCGAAAATATGTTCTGAATTTCTGATAACAAAATGTACTTATTTTAATTTTTTCACTACCCATTTGATAAATTATCATTATTGTTGATTTCGATAATTGTTTTATAAATGCTTCTTGCACCGGCATACAGAAGGTTAATAACTGCTCCGTTATGGCAAAAGGTTTTTCCTTTGTTTTTGTGTTCATTGTAACATTCATTACATACATTGCTATTGCAAGATCATTTCCTTATACGTGTGATGATCCAATAGTTTGTGATAGATGGGGAAATTCTATGTGTCCAGGAATCGTACTGGAATGTCAACCAGATCAGAAACTTCTACCCACCGGGTACTGTAATTGTTGCCAAGCCTGCTTCAATCTCTAAAACTGGTGAGTTACATTTGTTTTAAATGGAAAGAGCAGTTGATAAAAATGTTATTTGTGTTCCAGGTTTTTAACTGATGAAACTCCTGTCATATCTGTACAAAATCCACAAATCGATATATGAGAACAATGCATTCTTTACAATTTGGAAATTAATAATCACGTCCAATAGAATTGTATGCCTGGTAAAATAAATATTTGTTTCCACTTTTCGTAGAAACTAATGATGAAGATTTTTTTAAACGTGCATCGAATGATATTTGTTTTGTAGAGATGCCTACAATGAAGATTTTTCACGGAAAAAACGTATCATGATAGTGATAACAAGCTAGAACATGAACTGCAGAATTGATAGACAAATTTCTTCAAAGCTTAAAAAATGCAAAAACATTGAAAACTACATGATGATACATATATATACAATAGACTATACTTCCAATAAACGATTATAAGATCTTCATCCATTCCAATAAACCCGAATGTTTATAATAGATAAATATCTCAATACTGCTCAATCATGTATTCATATGAAGCATTAATAAAACTGGTCCCAAAATAGATCCTTGTTGAATTCCGTAAGTCATAGAATTGAATAAATTGGCATTTTTTCATAGCCTCACAAAATGTTTTCTATCAAGAGGTGGTCCATTAAAGTGAGTAAGATGAAAATTGCTCTTTTTCGTGTAGTTGTGTAGTCATATAAATATTCATTTTCATCGAATTAAAGTACTTTCGAAAGAACTTTCATATAAACATCAAATTATGTCGGTCAGTCGGTAGCCGGGCGGTTCGACGTGAGTGCTTTATTAACTCAGTCAATCGGCCGATGTGTGAGTCGATGGTTCAAGCCCCAGGCTGAACGCTCGATTTTCACTCGCTATCGTCCAACCCGTGTTAGGAGTCACACTTTAAAAGGTAAGACCTCGTTAGTCCTTAGCTCGCACACTTCTGAGGGTTGTCGTTCGTAGGGGTGCGATAGTTGATTAACGAAAAATAACCTATTTTAAACAAACACATATCTGATAGTAACTTCTATGCATCTTTGTGAACAGTTTATTTCAAACTCAATAGCTTTCTTCCATTGTTGGACAGTTAACCACAATTTTTTATACGAAGATGGAGGAATGAAAGCTAAAAAGCTTATATCTTATTTACATAAGAAATATTCATACATAGGTAATTTCAGAATTAGTCTAATTAATAACAAATATTATTATGTAAATTGATGAAACAAATTGTTCTTTTCCATANCCATAAGTCTATTTCTTTGACACTATATACCACTATTCTGTTCAAAGAGGGTTTGTCTACAAAAGACATGTGGTATTTAGTCTGGTTACCTTAAAAAAAAGGTTGTTTTCTAATAAAAAAATATTGGTATTTAAAACAAGAGACTGAATTCTAACTGAAACAAAGATAATTAAAATTAATTTATCTAAATCTACATTTTTATAAAATTATATATAATTTTCATCCTCAACAAATTGAAGAATAATAAAAGCACAGCTATTGACATGCACTTGCCGAAGAATCGAACATTTTCATTTCTTCACGAAGCATGCGAAAAAAAATCCAACAGAATCTACTTCTTGATCTGGACCAAACCGTTGAACTTTTTTCCTTTCCTCTTCAGTTAAAGACGTTCCGATCCATCCCGGTCCACCAAGACACAAATTTGGTTCCACCAGTTCAAGGCAGTCGAACTTCTTCAGAGCCCAAGCAACCATTCCTTCGTTCTCAGACAATGTTATTGTGCATGTACTGTACACCAAAGTTCCGTTGTGTTTGAGGAGTTGAACAGCCTGTATAACAAAATTTACTTGTTACAACAAAATTTACTTTACAGTTACATCAACATATAGAGGAGTAATAGAGATAGCCAGAAGTTTATAATACAACTACTATCAAAAATATTGATCTTGTCTACGTCGATTTAATTGAAACTATTTCTGTCATCGTTCAATCAATGCATTGAAGAACGGAAAATGTATTTTCAGTCTCATATTTCACCGGATAAGTTAAGGATATGTAGTTACTGAAGCAGTTATCAATGTCACATTGAACCATGTAGACGAAGATATTAGTTTTATCAATTTCATTTATTCTTGTGTTACTTATTGCTACATTTTTCTAATACAAGTACATTTTTTATTTACCTGCTTCAATGATGAAATGAAAACAATTACAATGGGGATGGTAATATATAAGCAGAGATGATCGTATATTACGCCACGGAAGCAAACAGTACAAAAGTGGACTAAGCACACTAAGCACACACTAAGCACAGACTGGAGTAGCTTCAGAATTTTACAATATTCTTACAGAACAGGCTGATATCAAGCAAAAAGTCAATGAAACCTTTTCCTAAACGGACAGATGGATTCATTTGGGTAGAACCTCAAGGGTGACACAAACAGTACTGCCTTGATAGGATACGAATGCTAGTATAGTCTTGAAATATGGTCTAGTGAGCTGAGTTGGAACTAACGTGAAAAAATTTAAATTCTAGTCGATTTGCCCATTTCAAAATCAGCCAAGTGCTGTTTGTAATTTACTAAGCGTTGGTCAGGCAGAATCCTTCTGGAAGAACGTGTGTGACAATCAGTGATCAATAAAACCAAAGACGTACCAGCTTGAAGCTATCTGAATAGAATGAAACTGCGCAACTCGATTGTCCCAAATGAAGTTTCAAAGTCATTGGTCGAAATATTTTCCCTTATTGTACGGGTACCGAATAACTCAGTGAAAGTCAGAGACTTCGGAAGACCGCTTTCTTTGAGGTCAATTTCAGCAGAATCAAAATTAAGGATTGTGAAGTGTTGAACAGAGATGGGAGAATACCCACTTGGCTTCCGGAAACCTGATCACAGTCGAAATTTTTATAGAGATTTTTAAAAGTACCCAGATGTCAATTTCGTGGTGAAGAGAATTAATTCTTAAATGTAGTTCAGAAAAATATTTGAACTGCCAGTGACATCTTTGAATCGGGTATGCAAGTGAAATGAAATAAATAGAACACTCCTCAGTATCGAATGAAAGTATCTGCATTGTGTATCTGGTTACAATATCTAAATAGGCGCTAGATGAACAAAATTGAAGATGCTGAGAAAAAGTTTGNGAGGGTTTTTTATTGATGTTCAGTAGTATGCGTTCAGGAACAAATATTTGAAAAAAACATTGTTTAGTTTTGAATATTGTATTACAAGTAACTATAAGAATAATATGTATATTAAAATTAACCCTTACCATCATTGCCATTGAGCGAAAAGTTGTTCGGGGTACAAGCATAATGAATTAAAAAGTAGATTATAATGAATATAATTGTTTTTCTGATTGATTCGGCCGTTACTTGATGAAGATCCATAGTAATTTCAAAAACTACACCTCACCCCTAGTTTATAAAAACGCAAAGTAACGAGGTAAGGTAAGGTCAGGTAAGAAAGTTCAAGTATTGAGAAAACCAACTTGCGTTCTAGATAAAAAGTAAAGTAAGGTAACGTCGGTAAGGCAAGGTAACGCAAGGTAACCCCTAGTTTATAAAAACGCAAGGTAATGAGGTATGATAAGGTAAGAAAGTTGAAGTATTGAGAAAACACACTTGCGTTCTAGATAAAAAGTAAGACAAGGTAACGCAAGGTAAAAAGTTAGCTGATTTCAACTTTCTGCGTTGCGTTCTTACCTCCGACCAATCAGAAAGCGCCATACTACGAACTTTGACGGATATATCCTAATGGTGTAAAGGTAATGTCACCAGATAAACTTAAACGTCACATTGTGAAATTTGATTTTTCTTTTAATTGGATATAAATACACAAATTGCCGCGATCATGTCAACGGTAAGTGTGTATCTTTTACTCAAGAGAAAGAAACGAAAAAGGAGGAGGTTTAATGTCAGACCCATTCTGAGAAGCAGAAAGACTCAGGGGCAATTTTAGTTATTTAAAAGAATGAAAAATGTCAATATTTGTTTATGCATTCCTGTCAACCCAAAAATTACCAAAACCTTTAATCACTATGACAATTATTCATACTTTACTTTTTCGTGAACGTCATAAATGGATACCTTACCTTACCTCTCTGCATCACCTTACCTTGCATTATTATAAACTAGGGGTCACGATTTAATCTTCAAAATAAAATTTGTGAAGATCAAATCGTGAGGTGTAGTTTGTGATGATGAATATAATTTTGTATACAATCAAGGACAAGTAGCTAGATCTTATTAATGTTCATATGTTCATTGCCTCTTTCTTTCTATTGAAATTATTCCTGTGCGTCTGTGTTTCTATTACCTCTTTATATATTCTTGGATAGAAATTATGAGTTTTACCGAGTATTTCTTCTTCTTCGAATGAGATAATGTGAGTGCCTTCGGTGAGAGCATGTCCGGCTACGATTTCTCTTGTATTCGTGGTATTTCGTGGTTCCAATGTAGACCGACACGCAGCTACAAGGAATGCGGTACACCCTGGGTGTTTTGCTGAAAAAACCTCTCTAGTAGGTTCTCTAGTATCCTTAGCTGATCTTAGACTCCCTCTGATTGTTTTCGTTGCCCCAAATATTGGTTTACATCGTGTTCCTCTAAAATTTTCCCTATCCATACTGTAACATTTTTAATATAGGGACGAAAAACTTTTTGCTTAACGGGCCTAGCTGGGGTTACTTTGGCGTTATCTCTTCTGGGTCGTATAGACCGCTCGATTTTCACTTCGCTAGACCCATTCCCTTTGAAGGCAGTTTTTGGTGATTGTGTATCTCAGGAAGACTCTCAGGTTGACAAATACGTCGTGCTCTAAAGAGAGCACGACGTTGGTAAAGACCAACGTTTTAATTACCCCTCTCTTTTATTGTGACTGGTGGTGAAACTTTTTGTTCGGATACCTGTGTGTGTATATTGGTTATCTGTACACTCTATGGCTCACGTACCATCTTCACCTCTGTTCACAAAAACATAAGGACTATAGTCCCTTAGGTTTTTCGCTGTATTGTGAATTGAATTTTTTGGTTGAGGAAGTTTAGATGTAATGAAAAATTGTTTAGTGTCTCTTCACCACGTTGTCATACCACGAACATGTCATCAACATAACGCAGCCAACAATGTGGTTTCACGGTCGCTTACTCTAAGGCTTGTTGTTCAAAAATTTACATAAAAAAGTTCACCGCCGCCGGGCCTAATGGACTGCCCTTGTGTTACCATCTGTTTGCTCGTAAAAAACGCCATCCCACTGAAAATAAACTGATGACGAACAATGAGCGAAGAGGGCAGTTTTATCTGCTGGAAAGTCTTTCTTATCAAATATATCTCATCAATTTGTTTTGGCGACAGGCTGAGTTAAGGTATGTTTCATAGAGATTGGAAAGAATTATTGAAATTTCATTTCAACTTTTAAAATACGCTGTTTACCCAAATGTTGAGGAATTCCACATTTCAACAATTCAAAACGAACAAAGTAGACTGCAAAAAACAATGGAATGTTGTTTCAGGATCCAGAATATCACTGACAGTTTTATAAAAATAGGAAAAAGAAGCTTTCCTTCAGTTTTGCAATTCTCAAATATACATCTGCAGTTTTGTCTCATAATTTCTGTAATCGCTATACATTGTGGTCGTACAAAATTATACTTTTTCAAGTCTTGAATGAGACGAGATATCAACTCCACAATAGGAGATTTTCCACATTAACATGTACATGACGTCACTCATTGCAGAGAAAGCGGTGTTGATTTTTCTTCAAATAAAAGCAGGAGTCTTCTGATAACTTGTTTGTTTTTGGGAATCGGCCTTGCTGTTTCAACATTCAGTTGAAACAGCACAATAATATTTTTAAAAACATCATTAACTCGTTCTATCACCTGTTTCAAAGTTATTAGTGTGTCAATTATCTTTTTTTTTTTTTTGTCTTGTCTACCGATGACCTTATTAACTCGTTACGCTTTTTTGATCACCAGTTCATACTGAAGGAAAACACATAAATGTATCGTTAGCCTACAATCTTTAAAAAATAAAATCGAAGTACTGTCAAAAACTATCTGAAAAACATTACATCTTTACAAACTAAAGATTCTTCATCAATCATCAGAAGACGATCTGGGTAGAGGATTGCAATTTCATGGGGCCATTATTACTGATAATAGCAGNAAACTCCATAATATATCCATAGTCTCAATAGATTTGCACAATTACCTGGAATTTGAATCAGTATCTTCTCGAATTTGTTAGCGATGGCTCTGGTGCGTTAGAAAATTCAATTCGAAGGCTTTGTTACGATTGACATTCACTTTCCTGTGTTGAATGTCTCAATAACACACATTTCCTATTATCATTAATCAATAGATGAAATTTAAATAAAAATAGAGCATTCTATCATTTAATAGATGTGTATTGTATCTAAACAGATTCATTAAAATTCTGATAGATATGTTGTGAAACAGAAGCATAAACTCAATATTTCAAGTAAGATATTTTCATGTGAAGATTGTACACGAAGTTATACTAATATATATGTTGATCGAAGGCATAAAACATTTTAATTTGTCATAGAATTCAGAAAAAATATTTATCAACAGTATAATTTTTTCATCTTAGTTAAATATCTTTCGCTTTCTATGTATGTCTGAAAGTTATTTCTTTTCTTGAAATATTGGATAGATATTTTTTTCAACAGTCTTACCCACATGTTTTCTGAAGGTATCTGAAATATATTTAACATCAGTTGAGTCCAAATCAAATGTAAATCACTAAATTAAATGCATACTTGATAGATTTCTTATAGTGGACTCACCTACATTCTTTTTTTCAATGACTGTTTTGGTTTGGTTTTGATTATGATTGGGTAGATTCAAAGTATTGTATCAATGTAATGAAACTACGAATTTTATGCACATATCGTGATTTTTGATTTTGGAACCTTGACACCAACACAGTCCCACTTTTTACAGAATCCAAAGTTATATTGATAGTTTTCTAACTTGGTATTTCATTAATTTTGTTTACACAAAATAATTTGGCACTACCGTCACTCAAATTTATGACGTTCTATAGCGATATTAACAATTTTGAAACAAAATAGAGGCAAATAAATCGATCTAATAACCTTCGAACAGTTTTAAAGTTTAAAGAAAACACAGAACGAATCAACCAATAGCAATTGGCGTGAAGTTATCCACAGATTTCTGGCCACACATACTGACGTAGAGGAAAATTAAAATCTGTGGTTGGGATACGAAATTATTAGCACCCGTACTATTATCTGTGGCTGGAAATAACTATTCACTATAGGTTGAACGTGAAATTATTAGGACTATTTGGTGTAAAACTTTTTTATAAAATATTGAGTAGATTGACGCGTTGATAATCGTTTTGATCTTTTCAAATCTTTTTTCAAATTTCCAAAATTTTGAAAATTTTCTGAGATATTAAGAAAAAACTAAAGCCC